AATACCAATAGTACCAACAGTACCAATAATACCAATAGTACTAATAATACTTTTTAAATACTGGGCCAGTACCGAAAACGACAAACACTTTTCGGTAACGCTCCAGTATACGTACGGTACGATTATCCAGTACCTAACCTTAGTACGAAGCCAGTACCAATAATACCAATAGTACTAATAATACTTTTTAAATACTGGGCCAGTACCGAAAACGACAAACACTTTTCGGTAACGCTCCAGTATACGTACGGTACGATTATCCAGTACCTAACCTTAGTACGAAGCCAGTACCAATAATACCGTTCTTTTTATATTAGGCTCAGTACTAAGTCAGTACCAAAACTGGACATCCGCTTTTCGGTATCGACCCAGTATCGGGTCATTTTTCCGTATTGGCGAAACGTATACGATTCCTACTTGGGTTGTGACGTGAGCTTATTGTTTCCGATCGGAATTATTTTCATCATCACGACGAGTAACCTCAGAAGATTGTCCTCGATCTGGGATATGATAAATGCGTAAATCCAAATTTAATTAACGCAATTAGGGAGCGAGTGCGTCGAGGAGAAGGCGCGGAAGGTCCCAGACGCTTTTTGCATCCCGCTCGATTTTTACCGGAATTTTGATTCGTCCGGGGTACTGTCGTGCTGCTCGCAACGAGCTTTCGCAACGAGCGCGGCAACGCGCGAGACGTGCTCGCGAAATAAGGATAGGAAGGTCGAGATCCTCTGGATTCGCCTTTGGAGAGGAATGTTCGAGCGGTAATTGAGATGATGTCCGGCGGGGGTTTGTTTTCAGAAAAAGCCCGCCGTATTACTTCCATCCACCCCTCTTTCCGTCCCTCCGCCGTGTCTGTCCGCCGCGTCGACCGTTCCGACCTCAGTCGCTTCCCTTTTTTCCTTTTGCTGTCCTTTAGCGTCGTTCCTCGTTTTCGATCGATGTCATGCCCAACGGATGATAAAAATAAAGGAGACGAGAAACGGGGGTGGAAAAGGGAGAAAAAACCCGAGGAGAAGAGAGAAAGAGAGAGAGAGAGCTGGAGACGAAGCAGCGGCAACGAGAACTGAACGTAAAACCACGCACCGCCTTTACCGCCAAGCAGCCGATTTTTTGCGACACACGCGCGAGCGGTTATTGCTTTTTAGCGCGCGATATATTTTATTGTCCATCATATCCACGTATCGAGGATGGCGCATTGGCGCAGAAAGTAGAGAGGGAGGGAACACGTAGATAAATAAAAAGATCTCGGCGGGGTGAAAAGGAGAAGGGACCGCGAACGAGACCAACGACAACGTCCACGAACGTTTCCGTCGCGAACGACGGGAATAAAAGCGACAAAGAGATCGTGACCACCATCACCAACGGCAGAAGAGCGGCTCTCTCCGATAATCGATTCGGCCGATTGAATATCTTTCATTTTTATTAACGTTGTTTATTCGTCACCCTCGGGGATTCGAGTCGATCGGGCGCTCCGACGCCCCGCAGATGGTGGGATCGTACTCTCGGAAGTTTTTGGAGCGAAATCTTGCTCAAAACGCGTGAAAAGCGGCGGTATTTTATAGCCGAAGTAACCGTGAAAATTCTGCCACTCGAAGTCGCAAGAGTGAATATTTTTCATTCAAGCTCAGAGCGGATTGTGACTACATCAGCGAATGCCCCAATCGATTTGAGTGAATATTACTGTGTCCAAAAAGTAAGACCAGTTTTTACTTATTTCAAAAAATATTTATTTATTCTTCCAAATCTATTTCGTCGCCTTCAAAGTAATCCCCTCCCGACACAATACACTTATGCCAACGTATTTTCCAGTCCTCGAAACAAGAATTAAAGTCGCCTTCCGGGATGGCTTTCAGAGCGCGTAGCGATTCACGTTGTATCTCTTCTATCGTCTCAAAACGATTTCCCCGCAGTGGTCTTTTGAGTTTCGGGAATAGCCAGAAGTCACACGGTGCTAAATCAGGCGAATACGGTGGTTGTGGAACGATATGGATCGAATTTTTGGCGAAAAGGTCACGAAGAACGAGTGCAATGTGAGAAGGTGCATTATCGTGATGCAAAAACCAAGACGTTTCAAGCCCAAAATATCTTTCAAAATGGTATTGGCAGATCCTTTCGAAATACCTACAGCATCAGCAAGGTCTCTAACAGTCATTCGACGATTAGCAAGCACAAGTTCTTCGATTTTCTTGACGTGTTGTTCATCGGTAGAGATTGATGGTCGTCCGAAATGCTCTTCGTCTTCAACACTTTCACGACCTTCTTTGAACTGTTTATACCACTTGTAAACATTCCTTTCCGACAAAGCATGGTCCCCGAAGGCTTTCTACAACATCCTGAACGTTTCTGCACCCGAAATTTCATTCCGCAAACAAAATTTAATGCAACTTCTTTGCTCAATATAATTAGACATTGTAAAAATCGCCGAATACACTTTTAGCGTACAAAACCAAGCGTAGAGCAAAAAGTAATGAATGTTTTGACATGAAATTTGTCACAAATGTCTGTCACAATGCTGCCAACTTAGAAAAAAAATATTTATGATGTGCGGTTTACCCGCGCGATTTAAATTGAAAACTGGTCTTACTTTTTGGACACAGTAGTATATTTACAGCGACGGTGGATTACAGTCATTGCAGTCGGTTGTAAGCTGATCAACATTCTTTTTATTGGGAGTGTACATTAATTTTAAAGTACTTTCAAGAGATAGTGTAACTAGTACTATATCGCATCGGGCCATATTATTGCTACCTTCATGTCAAAGCACCATCATGTGGCTTTAGTTTTCAGTATGTGTTATTTTGCCGAAGTGTAAACAACATTGTTTTTTTGAGCATTGAATATGTCGAATTTTGTGCCAACAAAACGCAATTTGCAGGAAGCTTAGCTTTTTTGTTTCCATTTGAAGAAAAGTGCTGCTGAAAGTCAACGAATGTTGTCGGAAGCTTATGGTGATTATACTCCATCGATTTCAACATGTGAGTACTGGTTTCGACGCTATAAAAAAAGGTGATTTTGACACGGAAGACAAGGAACGTCCAGGCCAGCCGAAAAAGTTTAAAGATGAGGAAGTGGAAGCTTTTACTCGATCAAGACCCGAGTCAAATACAAGAAGAACTTGCAGAATCATTAAATGTTGATCGATCAACGATTTCCAGACGTTTGAAGGCCATTGGAATGATTCAAAAGCAAGGAAATTGGGTGCCGTACGAGTTGAAGCCGAGGAACGTCGAAAGACGCAAAATGACCTGTGAATTGTTGCTTCAAAGATACAGAAGAAAAAGTTTTTTGCATCGTATCGTGATGGGTGATGAAAAATGGATATGCTACGATAATCCAAAGCGCAAAAAATCATGGTGCAGCTCAGGCGAACCATCAACATCGACGGCAAACCGAATATTCATGGCGCCAAGTTCATGCTCTGTATTTGGTGGGATCAACTGCATGTAGTGTATTTTGAGCTGCTCCAACCCAACGAAACTATTATTGGGGAACGCTACTAACAACAATTGATGCAATTGAGCCGAGCATTGAAGCAAAAACAGCCAGATTACGCGAGTAGACACGACAAAGTGATTTTCCAGCGCGACAACGCTCGGCCACATGTTGCGAAACTGGTCAAGGAAACGTTAGAAGCGCTTAACTGGGATGTCCTACTACACCCGCCATATTCTCCAGATATTGCTCCTTCCGATTACCACCTATTTCGATCGATGACTCATGGCCTGTCTGAGCAGCGCTTCCATTCTTATGAGGATACCAAAAAATGGGTTGATTCGTGGATAGCCTCAAAAGATGTGTCGTTCTTTTTACGTGGAATCCACCTATTACCAGAAAGATGGGAAAAAGTAGTGGCTAGTGATAGACAATATTTTGAATGATCAATTTGTAACCATTTTCTTACAATAAAGCTGTATTTTTACCAAAAAATCCCTTAAAATTAATGCACACTCCCAATATTTAAGTAAATATATTAATGGTACCCACCTAATGAATACTTGTTAATTTTTAAATATTTTTTTCTTGGTGTAGTTTGCGAAAAGTTTTGTTTCTTTGATCGCTTGTATTTCGTAAACTTCCGACATCTCGACATTTTCGCTCGATATTTTTCGACTCAAATTTTCACGAGAAATAACGCCATGTATTTAGTGGACGGGGGAAAAATAACACCCTATACATGCGTAATAATCGGTTATAAATACATAAAATTACATTCCTTCCCCAAGGGAAATTTTGAGAGAGTAAATCACCGTCGAATTGGAGTTGTCCTACCCGCAGCGTGCGGCCGTGGTCTTGTTTAACCTGATAAATCAGCCGTAGAGAAGTTCCTTTAACGTCTTCGCGATGCTGCGTTAATTATGCTGCGCAAACAGTGCAAAGGGGAGGCACAGACAGCGGGAGCAGGACGGGGGGGTCAGGCGAGAGTAGACGAGCAGATATCGGCACGGTTTGCTCTGCCGAGCTGGGAAATTGAGTTGGCCGTAAACGAAGACGCGCCCGCGGATCGCGTCCGAAGGCGATCAACAGTCTCCATTTAATTAGAGGAAGAACGGTGGCCTTCGCGATCCCGTTCCTGCGAAGGTCTGTTCACTCTCGCCGCGGGCGCGCGGACAATTCACGATACAAAGTGCAAACGCACACGACTTTTTGTCGCGATCCCGCGAAGCGATCGTGCCGAATCGACGAAGGTCGTGAGAGACAAATTGGGGGTAGGGCCGCGCGGGTGAGGAGGTTGACTCAAGAATCACGTTGGCTGTGCTTTCGCTTGAAATTCCAATCAATTCAACTTGTAGTTGCAATTTAATTAGGCCGAGACAAGATATGCTGCGATTGTCCCTAACGAAGCGACTGACGTGTTGGCGTAAGCTGGAGCGAGAGAAGACAATCGGTGAAGATACCCACGATCTTTATTAATAACGACGCGGTTTTTGCAACAACGGCTGCGGGACGCCGCTCGTAATTCGGGCGTGCGTGCGAACGGGAGAGAACAGTGCGGGACTCACCGGCAATTGTCAAGAGAAACGCTGCACTCGCGATGGCAATCGCCACGCAGAGGAGCCTCATATTATATCCCTCTTCTCCCCTGCCCCTCGTCCGCTTCTACCGTCCTCCTCTCGGGGCGGGTCCACCAGGGCGAATCCACCAGCACCCACCGACGGCGGCTGCACGTCTCTACGCGTTGTTGACGGATCGCGTGGCACACATCGTCTCGATTCCACTCCGTCCCCTGTCGTCGACTCGCTCGCACACTCGCGTGCACGGAAATCCGCACGGTGCGGGACGACGTCGTGCGAGCGAAACTCGCGCCGGTCGCCGAGAACGGTGCGTGTGTTGCGTCTGTTCGGCAATCCGACCGGTCGCTCGGGACGTGAAAGACTGAGGAAAGGCTCGTTCGCTTGTTCGCGGCCAGGTATTAGCCTCGGCACCACCAGCACACTCCGCTCCAACCCAGCTCCGTTCCAGTCTCTCTCCTCGACTCCGATCACGAGGCGAGGAGGAGGCGGCCGGTTTCTTTCCCTTCGCGAAGGAATCCTCCTCGAGGCGACTCGCGACCGTACCGACCTTCTGGCCGGCTCACGACGACGACGACGAATCGCGACACACCTTGTCTCCTCCGTGCTTGGAGCCTTCGAACCTGATGAACGAGTTCGAGCTCGAGGAGAAATAAAAAGAAGCAAGTCTCAGGGCTGCGCGAATTTTATTGCATCAATTGTGATCGAGTCAGAAGGGATTTGAGGGAAAATCAGGTCAATTGATCAAATACGATCGATGTATTGGGTGAACTCAACTAACATTTTAAACTCGTTCTGCGTGAAAAGGTAATTAACAAAAGAAGAAGATTTCGCTGTAAAAATCGGGGCAATTAGTTTGCCACGTGCAAGTCTGACATTGAATTTATTTAACTCGATTTTTGAGTTGTTTCGACTAAAACTGTTTGTGGAGAGTTTATGGAGGTGTATGTAATTATTCATTGGACTGATTATTTGGAATATTATTATAGCTAATTATTGTGTGTAATTAATTATTTTCAACAAAATCATTATTTCAGCACGGTTCCTTCGAACCATGCTTCTACGTCTTAAAAATGATGAGTTGGTCGATTGATAAAAAACTATAGTTGCTCTTTTCTTTTTTTTTTTTTAGTTTAATACGTATGTATTATTTTCCCGCTTGAGTGAATGGAAATTGTGTCACGTATTTATTAAAATGAAGTTCGTCGCTTTCTCTCGCGACTCGGAGCGAGCGCAACTCTTTGTCTACGGTCATCCGCGTCTCTTCATTCAAGCGAGCTACGCTTTCGTCGTTCGACACTACATTTTCACGTGCTGCTTTCGATTACAGCACGCAAATTGAAAGCGCAGAAGAACGCGTTGCTATCGTGGCGAATCACGCATATGTTGTATCAATTGCTCAATGAAACAAGATGACAGTAGCTTTTTGCGATACACGTAATCTTGATGCGTCGATGTCGTTAATTAAATCGGAATGTACATCGCATATCGTGCCATTTCGTTAACAGTAATGGAAAATCGATTTCAAATCGGTGAGAGAACTCGCGAATGAAAGATTATCGTTATTATGATATGTATACGTATGAGAGAGAGAAGAGAGAGAGAGAGAGAGAGAGAGAGAGAGAGAATATCTAAGAAATAAAACATATTTACTAGTGAATGCTAATATATAACCTATTATACTAATATAAAATATTTTCTAAATGAGAAAATATATATTTTCTTGATATCTTAAAAAACCTTAGCTCTTCGTGAAAAAAATTGTTTATTCTATTTAAATAAAAGAATTTAGATTAAAAAATAAATATGTAACCGATCAAATAAGTATTTACTATTTTTTAGCTATTTTTTCTCTCAGTATATACGAAAAGATTCCTTTTGGAAAAGAAAGTACATGCACTTGTGCACGCAAAGTAAATTACGTAGTACTTTCTAAATTAATTGGAGTGGAATCTCACTCAAAATAAAAAAATAAAAAGTAGCAATATTTTCACTCGAAGCATGAAAGTGCGAAAATATTGCACTCAAAATCACACGAGAGAATCTTTCACGGAAGCTCGCATAAGATGCTGATTCCATATGAGCGAATGTTTCAATCGATTGAATATGTTTCTCCGACGGCGAAGTATACCAAATCTATTCTTCAATTTTGAGTGAGAATATTTATACTCGATGAATACTCGACGATTCAGAGTGAAAAATTCGCTTTATGAGTGACAAATCCGTCGAATTCAAGTGACCACTCGGTGGTCACTGTACTTTTCGAGTGAAATTTTGCTCCAATTCAGAGAGCAAGAGATGCCGGCTCGACACATCGCCACTAGCGCCGGTTATACATACCGAGATATATGAGGAGAGATTATTCTCTAAATAATGTACTTACAATACATTCCGATACGTCTCACACGACGATCGCACATCGTTATTTCGACATTCCCGACACTTGCATCCGCAGGGGACTCACTTTTGGCAAATAAGAGACGTGTAAAATGCGGAACGATGTTGATCGATGCGTCAATGGTGGTTGCTCGATGCAAAAAGGTCGAAAATGACCGCGTAATTTGTGCCGACAGTTCGCGCCGTGGTGTGGTTGCCGCGCTACAACGACGCCATCTGCATGTTCAATTCCGCATAACTATCGATCTATCATTCGACAAATCGATATTAATCAATCGAAGTGAATATGTTTCTACACGGTGGAATACACCAAATTCATTCTCCAATTCTGGATGAAGACATTCACTCGGTGATCCAGACTAGAGAGTTCACCCTATATGATTGCAAAATTGCTCAAATTAATTAGTTTGTTTCCGTATATTCTGTGCTGCATATTAAAAGAGGATTCTTTAAATTGACTTGAGATAATTAGTCAAAATTTCTATACGGAAAAAAAGATTTGGTAGAATTAACCAAATATCTAATCGAATATGAACGATCCAGAAATTCCGATTGAAGTAACCCGAATTCTGTTTAAGTTAACAAGATTTTTAGTAAACTAACCAAACATGTCTGGTTATTTAACAGACATGTCTTTTACTCTCTGGTTAAATAATCAGACATGTTTGGTTAGTATACCAAAAATCTTGTTAACTTAAACAGAATTCGGGTTACTTCAATCGGAATTTCTGGATCGTTCATATTCGACCAGATATTTGGTTAATTCAACCAAATCTTTTTTTTCCGTGTATAGTCTGTTGGATTAGCATTCGAGCTGATTGTGAAACTGGTTGGCTTCTTGTCGCTAGTAATTGCACGAATGTCGGATGTAAAATGAACGGTTAATCGCGACGGGGAGATCGAGACTTTTCGCGACAACGAGCGGAAGGAATTGCGCCGGGCGGTATATACGCGGTAGTGCATAATGCTGTACACTTTGTTGATTCCGCCGATTCATTCCGCGTCCACGCGAGAGCGAAGTGTCGACCTAAGAGTTTACTGAGGCAACACGGCTCCGCGAATTTGAATGAGACTCGCGAGGAAAATGGAGGAGGATGTGGAGGAGGAGGAGGGGGAGGTAGTAGGCGAGGCAACACGCAACTGCAAGCTTCGTCTCGTGACGGTGTACTCTCGCAATAATATTTTCCCGCGTTTGGAACGCGCGAATGAATACGCGTATTATTGGCGAATTTCCACCGCACATTCGTACAATCTTACTCTACCTCTGTCTCTCTTTTTCTTGCTTCTCTCTCTTCTTCTCTCTCTTCTTCTCTCTTTCTCTATCGTATGTTTTCTAAAACATAAAACTACGTTACTTTTTACATAGCAAAAAAAGTAATCGTGCAAAGAAAGGTCTCGTGAATCGTGAAATTTTCCCGGTCGATTTACTGTCGAAGAACGAAAAGAACCGAACTTGAACTTTTTCACTCACCTAATATTTAGCTCGTTAGAGGTTTTTCTTCATTCGCGCCTCTACAAAACTGCTATGCAGATCGCGACGAAATGGCACCAAGTAGCGAACGCGACAGTAACGGCCTGTATATTTTTTCGTGTTCCAGAAGCTTAAATCGATTTTAATGTCGGCGAACGAGCCGGAAAAATGCAAGGACGTCGAGACGAAAATCACCAAGCACTTCGCGCGCCTGCACGGTGTCCTTCAAAATATGGAGGCGAAATTACTGAACCAACTATACCACCCATGCAGCAGTCAGAAAAATGATTTAAATCAGATCAATCTGCAGCTTCAAAAGCAGGAAGAGCAATTGAGCATGACGCTGAGGGTACGCCTTCCAAAAATAAAAATTACAATTGGAAATAATTGGATTGCAATTAGTTTATTTGCTACTTACAAAGCGTGCATTCTTTTATTTATCTATAAATGACACGAGATTTCGCCGATTCTTTTAATTTATTACTAGTATTTAATTTATTATTGAAGATTATTTAGTATTGAAGAGAAAAATATTTGTTGTGACTTACGTTCAACTTTGATAGTACACACAGAATAATAGAATGACATTTTTCTCAATACACTCTTTTTTTCCAGCTGGCTAGCTATACGAAAGAGAACTTCAACAGAGTGGACATGAGAAACGCAATAAAGGTCCTCAGCGAGATGGCAAATGTCCCTTGCCACTTAATTCGCAATAATTGCACTGAAGACAAGGCGATATTGTAAGTGATTGATTAAAGTGATCCTCGTCTAACAAGAGGAGGAATAGGGAGACGATCGTGACATGTGATTACGCCGATTCTGCTCACCTTATGCGAAAGTACAAAACGCCCAAATTAACTGTGAGCAATTCCTGAGTGTAGCAGAGACATTCCTTCAGCCACAAAGTTTTGACTTGCTTGTACAGCGAGTACCGTAATACACTGATCAATTTTGCTTCGTGCTTGCGGAAGACAAAGGCAATCGGCGAGTCGCGTGTCGCAAGTTCTCCGAGCAATCAGAAAATATCCACGTCGTTTGAACGAATAAAGGCGCCATTCGGGTCGATGTGCAAAATGACACGTTGACGCGCACGTGATGTACCTCGTCGTTTTGTGACATTATGTCCATATAATTTCTTCAAGTTTTAACATTCAAGTAAATATTTATAACAGAAAAAGAGAAAGGAGAAATTTTTACATTTCAGTAAATTGGTAGTGATAAGTTGAAATGGCTAAATAATAAATAAGGAAATATAGGTTTTGTAGCAAAGACATTAATATTCTTATTTCAATGATACATCTTAGCTGCCACATCTGTATTTTTCCTCCCGATCCTTTTTCTGCGTGTTAAATGTTCAATTTACTTCTCGGTCAGTACAGAAATGTCCGTGCCGAGAAAGCGCAATTTATTTCTTTTTTCTTCGCGAAGAGCACATTATCATCGACGTTGACGATTGCCGAACGACTTTACTCACAAGATTTTTCTTTGGCAGGTTTACCGACGATGAAGGAATGCTCATCGAATACTTAAAAAATCATTACGTACTTCAAATACCAGAAATGTCACGCTACAAACTCTTACGAACGGAAGAGTTGCCGGAGAACCACGAGATCGAACCTTTAGTGGAGAATCCTTCAATCATAAGTAAGGGACACTGATCTCAGTGTATGCTATGTCAAAAAAATTCACACGCACTTACCTTCAGACTTTAAGACGATACACTGAGAGAAAAGATATCTGAAAAATGAAAAATATTTACTTGGCGAATACTAATAATATATTTACTTAAATCAAAATTCTTTTGTTTAAATAGAATAAACAATTGCTTTCATGAAAGACATTGGTTTTAGTAAAATATATTAAAATATGTTTTATTACGTATTATATTTGAAAACTAAATACATTTAAATATATTTTCTCATTTGAAAGAAATTTTATCTCAGTATAAAAATATGTATACTACTGCAAGTAAATGTTATTTATTCATCAAATAAATATTTCTTATTTTTTAGATATTTTTCCTCTCAGTGTACGTAACTTCCCTTAATAATTTCCATATAATTTAATTGAGATGTTTAGAATAACATATTCAATGACGTTTCTTACGTGTAACTAATATAATCCCATTAAAATGTTTCAGGTATATTAAATCAGACTTTATCAAAAACGATCAAATCGTTGAATACATCGGTCACATCAAACGAATCAACAGTTACAGCGGAAGTGGCCGAAAAGACGTCTAAAGACAGTAAGTCGATCTCTGCTCGATCCTCAATCTTCAGTCTAATAAATTCTATTCTTTTTTCCTGCAAGATATTACCAGACAAGAGGTGGAGGTAGTACGTATCACCAATCCATCATTATTCTACGTCCGCTATCTCGACTTAAAGGCAGAATACGCGCAATTTGAGGAGGACTTGCGAGCGTACGCGGAAACCTTAGTGAAAAATAAGAAATCGCCGGTTAAATTCTTCCAAAGTAAGATCGTGAGATTGAATTATCATCGTAGTCTCACTCGCGCGTCTATTACCGAGCTCTTGTTGTTGCAGACAACATGTGCATCGTAAAGCAAGTGGAAAATGACAATTGGTACCGAGGACGTGTGTTGAATGTGCATAGCAAATTGAACGAATTGTTCACACAAGTAACATACGATATATTTTACATTGACCATGGTTACAAGGAAACCCGTGTATCAGACTCGAGAGTACGAAGCATCACCAAGGAGTATCTAAAGTTACCACCGCAAGCGATTCGATGCTGTTTATACGGCATAATGCCTATAGAGAACCTATGGACAATGAAGAGTATAAATGATTTCACGAAGTTGTTGCAGGAAACGTAAGTTATCGGCCAAACTGCTGATTCGTCACGTTGATCCTGTCATGTCGTGCAAGTCGACTAATCACAAATGCGTTTGCGTTTCAGTTCGATTTTCATACACGTCATAAAACAGGATATGAACACGCTATACGTGGACATTTGCACCGTCTCTTTAAAAAATAATAGCATGGGACCACAATCGATATGTAATGCTATGATATTTATGGAACATGCGTGTAATGATACTTTGACAGCTCCGGTGAGACGCGCGTCATGTTATATTTGTACTTGTCGATCACCCAAAGAAACGGAAACGATGTGTCAAATTAACATTAACGATGCTTGCGTTTAGTAGTAGTGTATCTTTAGATCCTGATAGATCTAGAAGAATGCATACCAGTCAGAAGCAATAATCACTAGGCGCTCACTTCTACTGAATACCAAGTCGTTAGCATACAATGTTATTTAGACTACTAGTATTTTGACACATTCCACGGTATCTTGACATTTCGACACATTGTTTCTGCTTCTTGGATTAGCCGATTAATTGATAATGCGTATATACGTATATAGAAAATATTAATAACTTGATTATGCCGCGTGTTAAGGCTATTATGGCAGTTAATATAAGCGATATAAGGGCAATATAAAGAATATAAAATGTAATGTGTATTTTCTTAATGTATTATAAACCAATTTTGGCCTGAAATTGGGACTGTACTCATAATTAGAACTATTACGTAATTAATATTTAAGTTTTTCTCTTTGCAGATGCATTCATTGAGCAGCACGAACGTATATACTAAGGAAGAATTAATATTAAATAAGAAAACATTAGTTACCATCAGCCACGTCAAGTCTCCAGCTGAAATTTACGTTTTGAAGGTAAAATGACTTTAGTAATATATCACAAAATTTTATACGATTTCTTTTTCTAAAATTGTACCATTCTTTATTTTTATTTTACATTATTTTCGCGCAAATTCGTCCAGAGAGGACAATGGGAAGATAATCTTTCGAAACTGCTGGATAATTTAAAAGTATATTACCAAGACAACGCTTCGAAACATATTATCAGTAAACTTGAGAAAGGTTAGTCCTACGATTATAAATATTTCTATCGACCATATCGATATAGCCACGAATCTTATATCAGCACTAACGTCTCACTAACTTATATGTCTCACAATAATATTGTGAAAAAGTTATCATCAAATTTAATCTAATTTGACGTGTGATTGGAATGGTGTGGAAACAACTGTAAATATTATGTAAAATATAATGTAATTATATTTTACATAATATTTAAAGCTCTTTCCACACTATTCCAATCATATAGGGACAACGGTGGAGACGGGCATACATGGACAACAGGTCTTAAAGGATAGCAACCTTTGACTTTGATAGACTGACAGCTGTACTATTTGGTACAGTAACATTGTTTCTCTCTGTAGTCGCCGTACGCTCGGGATCGCGCCAGAGATGTCGCTTCCGAACGGCATCTCTGAGCGTTATCTAGGGAGAGGAGAATGTCGTGAGCGTGGAGTGTCAGGTAACTCAGTAGTTTAGAGCAGTCGCCCGACAAGCGAAAGACCCGGATTCGAGTTCTAGCAAGACCGCGCTCTCGATATTTTTCTCTTTCTGGAACGAAAAAGTACGCAGATCTCGAACGACGTCCCGTCGCCACTTAGTACGCCCTCCTCCTGCTATGTATATAAATATTATGTAAAAATCTTAAAATAATAACTGTTATTTGTTTGTGGTTGGCGTTTATTTTATTTTTATCTTAAGAATGCATTATTGTCATCTTTGACACCGATTAGAGATGGCAAATCTAAACAATCATCTCGTCTAAGATTTCTATCTAGAAGAGAGATATATTCAACTAAATTTATTCTTTATTAAATTTATTATATACAGGTTTATCGTGTGTAGCACAAAACACGGACGGTTTTTGGCACCGCTGCGAAATCGTTAAAATAATTTCGGAAGATAGTGTCGAAGTTTTTTTCATAGATAAAGGATACACTTTGATTTTGAACTGCGATGAGTTGCGGACGATTCCGTACAAATACGCTCTATTTAAGGCACAGGTGAGTCACGGTTCACATAATAATAAAGCGATATGTTTACTTATCATTTCCTCTAGACTTTTTATTTCGTATACAAGAATTAAGTAAACATCTTAATATAATAATAGACCAATATTATTATCGATTATCGATTTGTTCCTTCATTTCAGGCGATAAAAATATCATTGAGATATGTGAATCCCGACGACCACGGAACGTGGAAGACAGAATCTGTCAATACGTTGTTGAATATCTTCAATTGTGTCTCTTCAAGTGTCTCTGTGACCGCAAAACAGAAGACGAAAGATGGATACAGCTGTTTTGTAAATCTTGATGAAGAGGACGTCAGCCAACTATTAAAATCCAAAGGCGTCATCGGTGCTAGGTAAAGTATTCATGTCATGCGAAATGTTTTATACAAATAGATTCAATATTTTAGACTCTAAACTTACTTGTCGAAATCATCATTATCTATCTTTTTCATTTTAATATAACAGGGAATATAACAAGCCGTCTAAGAGAAAAGTTGTTCGGCATAATATTGATATAACAAAATTGCTCGACAATAATCTGAAAGAATCGTCGTCGGAAAATTTTGAGTCTGATACTAAATCCGTCGAAGAAGAAATGTCTGATCCTTTCAAGACAGAGGTGTGCATCAAACATGTGGTCGCACCAGACTGCATCTACGTTGCGCTAAAGGATCACGAAAAGTTAAACGAGAATCTAATAGAGGCGATGCAAAAGTTTTACAATAACTATTGCTCCGAGCCGCAAGACAATTTCAGCAACAATACGCTACACGCAGTGTACTCTGCCAAGGACAAAGCCTACTTCCGTGCGCTGATCAAAGAGATAAGATCCCCGATGGAGATATTGGTCTACTTTTGCGACATAGGCATTACTGAGACGGTGACGATGAAGGAAATACAAGTTTTGCATCAACAGTTTGCAAAGGAACACGCATATTGCTTTAAAGTGAAGTTGGCTGGTATTCTGCCGTGTGGCGGATCGTCCGCGTGGCCGTCATTATCCATTTCAAAATTGATTGATATTATACGTGAAAATTCACGCCGCAAATTCTTCATTACTAAATTCGTGAGTTGTTTGTCTTAAACTTTTATATTAATTGCATGCCAATTACAATCGTCAAATAAAGACATATTGGTCGTGAAATATTAATAATAATTAAGACATGGTGTATGCTGAGTTATATATACATTATGTGCTTTAAGGATCAGCAAGACACTTGTGAGGACGCGATACCCGTGGAACTTTGGGTAAAACAGATAAAAGTACCAGGACCGTTGCTACCGGCAGAAATAGAGATCAATTGTATCAACAAAATGCTGATAGATGAAGGTGTTGTTTTGCCTATTAAAGAGTACGTGAAGTCAATATTTAATTTCATTCACTCATCAGATATTTAAGTTTGTAACATACAATATATCTCCCGATACTTACCGTGATCCTTAATTTAATACGACAGTTACTTCAACAAAACAATCGCAGTTCGCGCTGCGGAATTTAAGCAAGAATTGCTAAAAACACAATTAATATCGTGTGACGAAAAGAACGTGCAGTGGTTTAACAAAGAGACTTGTCATAAAATTAACTGCAAAATAGATGACTTGTTATCATCGTATCAAAGTTTGTTGGATCAGCCCTGCGACGTTAGCACATCGAAAAGTGATCAACCGGCAAGAGCAACCGATTGGCTACCACCGGTTGAAATAGAGGAAACAGTATTTCACGCTATAGGAACAAACGTGGACAACAAATGTTCCGTATACTTGTACCCCATAAAGAATAGTATGTCGCTTTAATTACATAGTAATATGACATGTTAGCGATATAATTATTTATATAGCAATACAAAATTTCCTCCTTAGTTTAGAAAGTAATCAATTTATATATTTCTTTAATATCTTATTTTATTGTCATGTGTTTTTATAGCAATATAGTTTAAAAGTCATACTTGTTAACTTTTTATTTTCTAAAGTGTTTGTCTCTTGTTTTTATTAGATTTAATCAAATTAATAGAGACTAAATTGCAAACGTATATTGCGTCCAAAAAAATCAAGATATACAAAAATTGGAAAGTAGGAGACATATGTATTGCAAGATATAAGGATAAAATGTGGTATCGCGGCAAAATACTCCGAGTGGTAAAACAAGCTAACGATAAAATCACATTGCAAGTAAGAAACAGTACAATCGTTAATTTATTATGAGTTTTACGATATCTGCTGAAACTCGTGTCTCATGTTTCAGGTATTATTTGTTGACTATGGAAATGAAGAAGAATGTGAACTCGAAAATGTGAGTAGGGATATTACAATGGATCATATTCCTATTCAGTGTACAAAATGCGTCATCAAAGGCCTGAGTCCGGTAATACGACTTTAGTTATTATTATTTTAGATAGCATAGTTACTTATAATTCTATCTTTTACTTTTTCACTTTTAAATGATTCTCCAAATATTTTTTTTCTTGTATATACAATAGGAATCCATACATGGAAACTGGACAAGGTTAGATTTAGATCGAGTGCACGTAGTTCTTGTTGAACATGAAATCAAAGTGTATGTTATGCAGCGGGAACCCACGCATTTAGTCGTAAGTAATATATCTATGCTTAGTTTAAGTACACACAAATCTTTAACTTAAAGTATTAGATAACAATAATTTCACCGTGGTCAGTAAGCGCGAGAATAAGCATCATACTCGTTGTGTTTTGCAGGTATCGATAATGCTTATAGATCAACAGTGCGACCTCCTTAGATTTCTCGAAATTCAAAAATCTCACCTTAATATGAAAATCAAAATCCAACCTCAGACTTGGGATAACGCAATAGCTTGCGAAGAGACAGATTCGATATTAAATTGCTCTGATAACGCGGTCACTGACACCTTGGAGAAATCTTCATTGGAATTAGAAAAGTCAGATATTATGTTAAAAGAAAACGTAATCAGTGGCAGTTTTATAGAGATGGATTCCGCGTATGACAAAAATATAGTAGATATCGACATTATATCAAATATATTTCCCATGGACGACTGTGTGATCTCCTCAACGCCACAGAATCTATCGGAAGAAAGTTTCTTGGGTGAATACAAGCCATTGAACATTCCGTTAGATACGGAATATATCGAGGTGATATTACATTTCAATAAAAACCCCACTACCTCGTACGCACGTTTGGCGGAAAACAACGATGACATGTTCTCCGATGTGAGTGCACACGAATTTATATCTATCATATCTACATTCGGACAATATAATAACAATAGAAATTTCAACAAATATTCGGACGATATGTCTTCAATTCTCAGATATTGCATAATTATAACAAATATTTTACTTCTAGGTATTACACAATTACTATATGCAATATGAAAATATGATGTTGGACATACAAGAGAATGCATCTTCTCAGCCGTTAATCGAGTCTTTTGAAGATAGTGAGTTATAATCCGCAATAAAATATTTTAAATAGCCGTGAATTAAATAACACAACCGTGATTTTTCTTTCATATTAATGCGCTACAAATTGTCAAGTAAAGTCAACAAGAATGTATTGCTATGCGGATTCATTTAGAGTAACGCCCCGACAAAATAATAATTGTTAATTAATTTTTTTTTTTCTTCAGATACTTCATGCATAGCAAAATTTACCGATGATCGATGGTACAGATGTACTATCTTGCAAAATCACGAAACCTCAGACACTCAGTTTATATTGCACTATGTTGATTATGGTAATAATGAATCTAAGATACTGGATCTTAAATCAAAGTAAGGAAAATATTAGTATATCTTATTTCTTACTTGTGAATTGTATGACACGAGGGTCTTATCTATAATGATTTAACAATGTATGTCTTACAGAAATCATGATTTGCGCGTACCGAAAAAAGAATGGGTAGAATTGCCCACTATGGTTATAGAATGTCAATTTTGGAATATTGACTTTATTTCTAACGATATTCACTTACTAGCATCAAAGTTAGATGAAATATATAACAAAGCAGTAGTGGCTAGAGTTAAGGTATTTTTTTGTTTTGTTTAGTATACCCATCTATTGGAAAAATTAATATAGAAATATATTAATTAAACGTTATTGTAGGAAATAAATGGGGATAGATTGGTAGCAGAAATATACAAGGACAAAATGTGCCAAGAACTTTTGTATGCACACTTAATTGACGATGGTTTATATCAATACAAGTCCAAAGAAGACTGAAGTACACACATAATTGACTGTGATTTTTTATGTTTATTGCTATTTTATGTTTACAGCATTTCCATTTCCTTTTATTTTTCTTTATAAGCAGTAAGTTTTGTAGCAGTAAGTTTTATAATAAAATTGAACATTAGACAAACTACACTTAACATCACAGTAACTTTTCATATCGTAAAAAATTATTTGAAATTATTTGAAGATTTATGAGACGGGTATATCCCATACAAGAAAAATTCATAAGATTTGCCTGTTAAGTGCGTTTAATACGTTAAGGGTAATAAAAACACGAAATTTCCATGTAGAAATTGATATATTGATAGTATATCATATATTATTACCAAAATTATTTTGTTATTATACAGACATTTAAAGATTTATGGAAATTAATTAACGCTGAGTACTTTTCGCAATTTGTTCCTTTAGTACTAAAATACTTTGCCTTTGCTCAGGTGGAAGCATTGCAATTTGTTCATCTGATAATTGCAGTACCTGCATTATTAAAGCCGCCTACAAAGAGAACAGAGAAATTCATGATTTTGTTTTTTATAATAGGGTATTCCGAAATTATCATACAATATTTTAACAACGAATTCGATTGTGTAACTTTTAAAGCTATAAAAATACAACATTTTTCGTATTTTTGCTCTTAGAAAAAATCATAATTGTTATCCTAAAATTTCAAGTCGAAAGCTTTTGTATCAAAATATTGAGCGTTTTTTTTTTAAGTTTAAGTAAGAGATACCGTTTAGGAAAATTAATATAACTTTTACACGAAAATGTTAAGTCATAAATGTTTCTTATATTCTAAATATATATATATATATATATATATATATATATATATATATATATATATATATATATATATATATATA